ATTTATATGGCTTTATGCATTTATACAACAAATAAAGGAAGCCTCGTTGACATCACGAATATAATATTATGAAGATGGTTTTACATGTAAGTTTTTATTATGCAGAATTTTGAAAAAAAAACACTTTCTCAGCTTCTTCCGCGGTCAAGCAGCTAGCTGGCTAGCCATACACTAAGCTCCAGATATTAGTTACAAAATAAATAAATACACATAAATAATGATTAGAAATAATTTATTTCATTCTTTGTAGATTAAATAACAATAAGATACCCTACCGTACTGGAATATTCACCAAACATACATTATTACTACCTATAAGTAAATACTGCGGAAATTAAAATCTTTACTTTCCTTTTGTTGTTGATGCGTAAATAAGGAAGTAGTAAATAATTTAGAAACTGGAGCATACAGAACGTTTTCTTTAAATTAATTAATATAAAGGTTATCTTTGACAGATTATTACAAACATGGGGTGACCTTATTACGTAACGTCTACTTACATATTATGGTGTTATTACATATCTCCATAATATGTATATGTAAAACAGCTGAGACATGATAAATTTTATAATTTTTTCATTCACTATCACTTTTAACAAATGTTCTTGCTTTTACTATTCTTTCGTTAATATACATTTATTTACTATATGTTGTGAGGGAATATTTTGTCAATAATTTTGTAAGTAGCGAACTGTTTCGTTAACATTTACAAACCTATATATATATATATATATACATATGTATATGTATACATATATATACGTATATATATAATTTTCAACTAAGTTTAATGTATAATGACTTACAGGTGTGTGCTGTCTACGACTTTCGCAAGTTTTTTTTTTTTTTTTTTTTTTTTTTTTTCGAATTGACATATGCTGTTAGCCCTAGTGGCTTTGACAGCGTCACCGAGAGGGGTGGGTGGTCCTGATGGGACCGACCCGATTAATTCGGGCCCGAAGGGCCCGACCAGGGATACGCCCGTCCCAAGGGTGCCTCTAGGAGGCCGGACCTCGGCTTAGGACGTCGTTGTCGTGGAGGTATTAGTGGGTCGATTGAATGCATGACGCCCCCCGACGGCAGAACGCCGGAGTGACGTGTATGAAACGGGACCTCGCCTTCGCCGGCGAAGGCGGTGTGTGTTTCTGATGTCTGGTGTATTGTTGGGATTATTGTTCGTATTGTCTGTCGTGATCTGGTCGTCAGGGTCTAAGAGGACGTCTTTGGGACGCCTCTTACCTAATTTGGAGTTGGGTGACGGGGAATAATTTGACGCTTGGATTACTAGCGGGTTCGGATGAATTGACGCGGTATCGAAGAATCTCTTTGAGATCATCTTGAAGTGCGCAGCTATCGTAGGAAGTTGGAGGTCCCTATGAAGATCTGAGTTCCTGAGGTACCAGGGTGCGCCTGTGGCTATGCGCATGAACCTATTTTGCACTACTTGCAGTTTATTAATGGCTGAGGGCCTGATATGGGCGAAGCATGCGCTTGCGTACGACATAACTGGAAGTATGCAGGTCTTGTAAAGTGTGACCTTATTTCTAAGGGACAGTTTACTTTTACTGCAGATGAGGGGGTATAGGCGACCTATGATGAAGGATGCCCTATTTCTAACAGTTCGAATGTGAGGATTAAAGTTGAAGTATCTATCTAGGGTAACCCCCAGATATTTGGCTTTTTTTTGCCAAGGAATGGGACTGTCGTAAAGTGAAACCGTTCTGTAGGGGATGCCTACTCGATTGCTTCTGGTGAAGATTACTGCATTGCTTTTACCTGGATTAATCTCGATTTTCCATTGGCGAAACCATTCCCCTAGGGTTACGGCTGCTTTCTGGAGTCGAGAGATGGTGAGATCAAGAGATCTTGATGTGGTGTAGACTGCGGTGTCATCCGCGAAGAGGGCGAGATGTGTTGGTCTGTTTGGGACCGGGATGTCGCTCGTGTATATCGAGTAGAGAAACGGAGAGAGGATAGAGCCCTGAGGGACTCCTGCTCTTATGGAGCGGGGAGAGGAGAGGGTGCCTTCAACTCGATAGCGGAAAGAGCGATTCGACAAGTAGGCTCGAATGATGTGCACGAGCCTGTCTGGCAGTTTTAGTGTGAACAGCTTGAATAACAAGCCGTTGTGCCAGACTTTGTCGAATGCTTTCGCCACATCGAAGAAGATTGCACCCGTCATTTGGGGCCGTCTTTTTATAATACCCTTGGTGATATGCTCCGTGAGGCGGTGCAGCGGGTGGACGCTCGAATGCTTGGCTCTGAAGCCGAATTGTTCGTTTGGGAGGATATTTAATTTCTCCACTTCCTGTTTTAGCCGGTTCAAGATGATCCTTTCGTAGATCTTTCCGAGAGTATTGAGCAGACTAATCGGCCGGTAGCTGCTCGGTAGATTTTTCGGTTTCCCTGGCTTCGGGATTCCTATTACTATGGCCTCTTTCCATTGGTCGGGGAACGCGCATCCGCTCAGTAGTGCGTTGAAAACGAGGACCAATAGATAAACTAGTCGCGGCGGTAATAATTTCAGGGCCTTGTTCGTGATGCGATCAGGCCCCGATGCTTTTTTCGCGTGAAAATCGCGGATAATGTTTGTCACTTCCGGAAGTGATGTTTCTTTTAACGCGGCGTCTCGGATTGGTTGATTTAGTTTATGAGCTACGTACTCTTCTACTATTTCGTCGTGACCCGGGTCACAATGTTTAATGCTTAAGGAGCATTGACTCTCAAAACTGTCTGCTAGACACTCGGCCTTCTCTCTGTCGTCGAAAGCGGGTGGTAGGTTCGGTCTAACCAGAGGTGGCATTACCGAGACAGTGTTTCCCTTCAGCGCTCTCTGCAACGACCAGAAAGCCAGGTGCGTTGGAGAGAGCGATGAGAGTTTCCTGTCCCAGCCGTCCTCTCGAAAGGAAGCGAGTTTATCTCTCACTTGCCTTTGGAGATTACGTAGCGTTCTGCGGTTAGCGTCTGTCGGTGCTGCGTCATGGGCTCTAGTGGCGGCATTTTTCTTTCTAATTAAGTCCCTAATTTCGGGAGGCAGTTCGCGGCGATCCCTGTGGGACTCCGTGATCTGTCTCGTCGAGTTGTCTAAGGCTTGGGTGATGTGATTAGTTATTTGAGACATGGCGGTCTTCGCAACTTCTGCTGATTCTATAGTGTCAGGGATTTGGGAAAGATGCGAAGAGTTAGATTCGAGACACTGTTTAAGTAGCTTCCAATCTGTTATGTTTTTAGTGAGGGTTGCCGCGGTTTGGGGGGGTCCTAACTGAATTAAAACTGGTCTGTGGTCTGAGTCTAGCTCGGATAGCGCCTCAATCGAATGCAACTGGAGTGTTACATTCTTCATGAGGGCTATGTCGATCACGTCAGGTCTGTTTCGTCTATCGTCATGGAAGGGGTAGCGCGTCGGATTGAGGGGAGCGGTGACTTCTATGTTAAGTTTATCTACTATCCTGTTTAAGTCCCGTCCACTAGCGTTTGTTATTCGGGAGTTCCATCGTGGGTGTTTACAATTGAGGTCCCCGGCCAGAATGACCGAGTTCCCTAGTGAAAGGAGTGACTGAAGGTCGCTCTCCTCTATTGTCTTTGACGGGGATAAATAAACGGATGCTAGTATGATGGGCTGATGGCCTGTCATACCCACCTGACAAATCGATGCTTCTATGTTTTGAAGTTGGGGAGGATCAAGGGGGATGCAATGAAGAGCCCTTCTGTAATATATGACCGTGCCGCCTTTGGCTGAAAGGCGGTCGTTCCTAACGATGTTATAATTCCCAATCCGTGGGTTCCTAGAACTTGGTTTCAAGAAGGTCTCTTGTACTAAAAGTATATCTATCTGGTGCTTAACTAAGAAGTGTTGCACCAGTTCTTTCTGATGAGAGAGGCCGTTCGCGTTGTATGTAGCGACAGTCAGAGAGCGTGGTTTTAGGCGGCTAGTAGCCATTGGTGTTGAATGCTCCTACGGCATTCAACAAGCTCGTATGCTGACATACTGCCAACATGCGTGCCTGCGAATTGCCGTTTGTGGCCCTCAATTTGGCTGCGAAAGTTTGGATTTCCGCGGGGTCAAAGAGGCTTGCGAAGTCACAAACCATTTTTAGATCGGCCTCTAGTCCGGCCGTTGGTGCCTTAGGGGCCTTTGGTGCCTGTGGGGCTTTAGGTGCCTGAGGGGCTGACGGTGCCTGAGGGGCTATCGGTGCCTGAGGGGCTTTAGGTGCCTGAGGGGCAGTCGGTTTAGGTGCGCCTAACGGTCTTTGCCAGGCGTTAGTCGCAGGGAGGGCCGCAGGGATGAGAGCCGGCTCTCGGGCTTTAGTGTACTGCCGCCCAACCTTCGCCCAATGCGGGGTTTTGGGGCATCCGCGATAGCTCGCGGGATGACCCCTCTGTCCGCACAGGACGCAGCTGGGAGGTTCCACCGTAGCCGCCTCCCTAGTACAGTCTGTTGTGGCGTGGTCGCCGAGGCACTTTACGCAGCGCGGGCGTGCGTAACAGAACCTCTGCGAGTGTCCGTAAAGTTGGCAACGGTGACATTGCCCCGGGGCTCCGCGGTTCCGCGGTGGCTCTACTGTCAGTCCGGAAAGCTGACAAACTGATGAGATGTTGAAAATTTTCTTACCCTCCGGGGTAAGTGATAGGTGGACTAGCACCATATCGAACGGGTTTTTATTTGGTCGGTGCATACGATGCACCTCTAACACTGGCAGGTTTTGGGACTTAAGGTCCTCTTTTATTTCCTCAATGGGAATCTCCGCGGGGAGACCCTTGATGACGACTGTTAGCCTACGCTCCTCCGGGAGGGCGTAGGTGTGGTATTCTAGTTTTTGAAGTCTAAGCATCGCGGATAACGCGCGATGGTCATTCGGTGTGGCCGCGGTGACCTTTATTCCCGCCTGAGTATTACGTGCCGACACGTATTTTATTTTTTTATCGTTTAGGAGGCTGGATATGGCGTTCCAGCTCTTGTTGGTTCTAATATATAATGGCGGCGGGTATTTTGAGTATACTTTGGGTGCGGACCCAGGTAGCCCCGCAGGAGCGGTCGCAGGTGCGCCCGCAGGTGCGGACACAGGTGTGCCCGCAGGTGCGGACACAGGTGTGCCCGCAGGTGCGCGCGCAGCTGCACCGGCAGCTGCTGGGGTTGACGGTTTCTTGGTTGGCGGCGGCGCCTTTAATGACTTGGCCGCCTTTCTTTTACCTGATTTTGTTATGACTGTTTCAAACCCGTCGTTATCCTCCTCTGCGTCTGAGGAGGACGGCGTTGAATCTGACTCGGCTTCCGAGCCGATTGGTGAGCAATCCATGTCGCATGGATTGCTTTTTGGACAGTCCGGTGAGGCTGGGCTGTCCGTATCGAATGAGGTGGGCTTTACTTCGGGGTTCACATCGGTGAACTCCTTGTACGCTTCGGGGTATTTTTTAATAAAAAAATCTAATAAGGCCTCTAATCGGCCCGAATTATGGTCGCCCATGATGGGCGACGGACTTAGGAGGGAGTCCTCCCTGCAAGGCAGGGAGGTGTGTAACGTATTTGATTCAAATCTAGACCCTGTTATTAGGTAACAGGGGTGCACCTACTTCCCTAACCACTAACGACTGTGTAAAATACCTTATGAGGGTGGCAGGACAACGGCGACTAAACGACGGTGACTGCTACCCTTTTCCTGATTCTTCTATCTATTCTACCCATATTTTAGTTAAATAAACCTTCACTCATTACTTGACTTCAAAACTTTATATATAATAGCCCATGTACTTTATGTGAGTAATATCATAGGTAGATAAATAATGTTTGTGACAGTTGTCAGTCTACGTTGAAGCAGTAAATTGTGTGCCACAAGTTCATTGTTTTATTTCATTATTACTCATAAATTTAACATTTTGGCGACGAATTAGCAATCCACGCGTTAAATAGTGTTTTTGTGAACTTTGTGAGTAAAAATATAATGACGTCGAGTGCAAATATCATGTTTGGTGGAAACCTTTGGTGATAGTGCTCCGAGTGTGAAACAAGTTTGTGTAGTGTATGGTTATAAAAACCATATGAAAGATCAGTGTCGTTACGCGAACTTTACGTGTCGTAAATGTAATGCTAAGGGTCATTTACAGCGAATGTGTAAAGCGTATAAAACGAAATGTAACAATTATTTGGGTAAGTACTCGGGTGATGACGAGGGCGGTGACGACATTATATGTAGAAGGTAACTTTCAATGTTTTAATATTAAGTGTGTTATGTGTAAATGGGGCACCGATGCAACAAATCATTTCAATCGGTAATCAAAATATTTTATGTGAAATAGATAGCGGTAGTGCGGTTTCGATTTTACCTAAACACGTATAAGATAAGTTTTTCTTTCGAAGTTATGAACTGCAATCGTGTCGTGTTGTATTTAATTGTTATAATGGCAGTAAAATGACGAATAAGTTATTATCTATTATCTATGTATATATATAAAAATGAAATGCTGTTCCTTAGTCTCACTAAAACTCGAGAACAGCTAAACGGATTTATCTTATCTTAGTCTTGAAATGTTCGTGGAGGTTCAGGGAAGGTATAAAAGCTGAAAAAAATTGATTCAATTCTGGGAAAACCCTATAAACAGCCCTTTTCTATTTCCCATACAAAGGTTTTTTTGAAGTTAGATTTGACAACTAACTAATATGTCAATCATTCTGTTCGATTGAAACAGGAAAAATTTAATAAACTCGAGAACGGCTAAACGGATTTATCTTATCTTAGTCTTGAAATGTTCGTGGAGGTTCAGGGAAGGTATAAAAGCTGAAAAAAATTTATTCACTTCTGGAAAACCCTATAAACAGCCCTTTTCTATTTCCCATACAAACGTTTTTTTGAAGTTAGATTTGACAACTAACTAATATGTCAATCATTCTGTTCGATTGAAACAGGAAAAATTTAATAAATACCAATACCTCAATACCTGGTTATTTAAGACGGAATAGAGTTCGCCCGGTTAGCTATACATATATTACTAATGACAAAATTAACGCGGACGAAGTCGCGGGCAAAAACTAGTTATCAATAAATTATGAAGGTCATGAACGAATGCTTAAAATATATGTTGTTCAGACTAACGTTTACCAACCAGTACTTTTGGGCCGCGATTTTATTTGCGCTTTTAATTTACAATTGTGTTCTATAAAATGCAATAACATAACGACCTGTGAAAAATGGACTTGGGGATCGTTTGAAGAAGAGGCGTTTATTAAAATTAAACAAGAGTTAACCTCTTATCGAGTTTTAGCTCATTACATTCCTGAGTTACCGACTATTGTAACATCGGACGCGGGGCCCGCCGGGCTCGTGGTGGCGTACCCGTCGCGCTCCTTATCTACGCCCAGATACAGAAAGAACGTCCGCGATTATTTTCGCAATTAAAAAATTTCATCACTATCTATATGGGCGCACGGTTCCATTCACCTTACGCACTATAATTAAAATGAAATTATTAAAATTTTTATTTGCACTGCACTTGAATTGTTTTTAGGACGAAAATTGCTTTCTAGTCTAGATTTTATCAAACCTATGAAAGTTTTACCTCATCCAATGTCGTCATCCATGGTTAATGATAATGTTGTTTCCAAACAGATATCACAGCGTAAACAGTTTGGCGGAAGTCGTAAGATCCAGTTTAAAATAGGAAATAAAGTCTTAATAAAACAGTTTTATAAAAATGGAACTTCCAAAAAAAATGGATCAAGACTTTTTCTTATATATATTCCGGAATTTAAAATCAATTAAAAAAAACATATAGATCAAATGTTACTGCATAAGGGAGATTATAATTTTCCTGACTCTGATGAAATAAGTACAATCGGAGATTTTAATACTGATTTCACACAAGAGGTAGCGTCTGAATCTACAATAGAGTCCAATAGTCCAATTATAGAATCGACACCTACAACTCCAATAAGTGATTTAGTCTCGGATTGCTATTACTCCTGGTTCTTCAACCGTGCCTGGCGCTGACGCAGCCCCAGGTGATTCTGAATTACGGTTGCAGGCGGTGGTCTCTAATGAAGATTCAGACTCTGTGGTGTCTAGTCCAATGACAGACAAACACACTCCTGATGTTGTACTTCCTGTTATGAAGGGTCTGATGTCATACCCAAACCAGCTCGCAGATTTCCGATCCGCAGTACACGTTGAAACAACTACTAATTGTAAAAATGAATTTATAATAATTAGTAGTTGTTTCAAATATAACGCTTAACTAAGAGACATTTTTATATATTCAGTACTAATTTATGTTAGTTTTGATTTCGTATAAATATGTATATAGCTGCCCCGCAAAACATTGTTTTGTCTTATCAAAAGTAGGGGTTTGTGATAAAAAAAAAAATTTAGGATTGGATATATTTTCTTATGTCAAATCGTGGAAAAATTAAAACGAAACCTTTCGTCCAAATTAAAACAAAAATTAGGGGTGAACAGCCCCTTTTACTTAGAGTATGAAAAATAGGTATTGGCCGATTCTCAGGGCCTCAGACCTACTCAATATGCTTACAAAATTTCATGAGAATCGGTCAAGCCGTTTTGGAGGAGTACGGGAACGAACATTGTGACACGAGAATTTTATATATAAGATATATATATCATCAATATCGTTCCCCAGCTCCGTGATGTCATCTCGTGGTCGTCATCCCTCCGCAGCGAGATGTCGTCCCCAGCTGCCGCACGCTCAGCAGCAGCGGCACAGGCTCAGAGGGCGCACCACGACGGGGCGGAGATAGACGCGCGCGACGACATGACGATGAGGAACATCCCAGCTCAGCGGTTAGTACACCCTGGAACAATATTATACTATGAAAAACATGTTAGCAATAGTACATATATGGTATTAAAAGTAATATTTTTTGTAATTACTAAGTGTTTACAGTAATTATTTATATCGTACTACCGATATTTCACGTGCATCACGAGTAGACATCATAGTAAATACAAAAAATATTAGTTACATTTCAATGATCACCCGCGAAAGTATATCTCATGAGATAAATCTGTTCTGATATGTATAACCACAAGTAATTCTGGTTCATTAATCTCACTATTTATTACTAATTATTTCCAGGAGATCAAGGAGCGTTGTCGCGCGGTAGTAGAGGAGCGCGGCCGCCTCGCTAACGCGTGGTCCGCTCGGCAGGTGGCGTTGGACCAGCTGATCGACTGGCACTGCATCCTGAGAGAGAGATATTTTAATATTAATGATTAAAAGGCATAAAATATATGTGTGCGTAGAAACAAGATCAGACTTGACTTTAAAAGTAATATTCGATACAATGGCACTATAAATTTATTGAATTTACATAAATATATTATATCAACTATCTCGATTTATACTTATAATGAAATGAAGTCTAATATAATAAAAATGAGAGATTTAAATACAGAAAAACATCAACGATCGTTTAATCTATATTACCAACGCGTTACGAACGATAAGAGAGTCCTGATCTCCTCTGACAACCGTTTATATATCATTCGCCCCTCTCCTACATTCACATATTCCTATAATGTATAACTTTGACTAAATCTCTTTTTTTTGCAGGCAGTGAAATATCTCCAACCAGCAGCACGAGGCCTTCGAGAAACAAAGTTGGCGACACAGGTCAGTCAGAACCAATAAATTTAAATACTAAGAGACATAGTAATAATAAAATTTGTTATAGAAAATGATATGTTAGTAGTAAAATGCCTCCTCATAACATATATTATTCACCAGGATGAGAAACTATCCACACTGAACAGAGCGAGAGAATACAGGAGGAACTGGCCGCGGTCAATGACCGGAGGAAGAAGGTACGTACATACAACATTAAATACTCTAAAGAACATTCGGTAGAGGTGGGAGCGAGAGGTATAACGGTTAAATCTCTCTACAACCTACTAAACGACTTGGGCCTGTCCAGAACTAATTTCAATTCATTCTTGGAAAGCAGCCCTAGTAGGTTCGTTACAAATTAGGTAGAAGAAGGACCTTGGACGGTGAAGGTGAGCGTTTAACGCGTTAGTTAGGGGTCCCTTAAACCTACACCTGGGTCACAAGTCCCAGTCACTGTTGAAGCTCCTCTCACTACAACGATGTACCCGACACCCGCACCGTGAATACATGGAATGATAAGAGGTTTCGTCTCGTTTAATTAATTTATTAATTTCCAGCTGTACGTGGCTGTTGGAGTCCGTCGTGGAACCCTACTTAGGACGCGCGCTCGAGCTCAATTCACACGAGACGTCGCTGAAACCAGGAGCTGGGTGGCCGATAAGATGCCGCCGCTGCAGCTCATTTCTGGTAACACATCTAACATATATATATTTAAGTTAATATATTTTTATCATTAACGCCGACACATATATATATATATATATATATATATATATATATATACATATATATATATATATTTATATATATATATATATATATATATATATATATTTATGTATATATACAT